TATGAGGTAGGACGGGGAGTACGATACCCATCCCCGGTTTGCGACAAACGGGGATCTCCGTCCCCGTCCCCGACCGGGGAGGGCGGATCGGGTTCCCTGACGGGTCGGGCCCATTCCCATGCCTAGTATGATATTCAGGTCTCCATGGGATCAGCTTAGGCGTACACATCTTAACCCGGACTCCTATGGTTACCCAAAAGTAGTTTTATAGTCTATTACGACACTCCAAAATTGTTCAATAAAAACGCTAATAAGAGGATTCCATGTCATTAATGAGATTTTATTTAAATCCATAACACTCGACTTATTAAGGAAAATGGTTTCATGCTTATGAAAAGGACATATTTAATTAAAATCTCATTTAAGGTTATATTTAAGTAAAAAGTTGATTACTGACAACCTCAACGGGCTTCACACGAAACCCATTTCCAAGGATACGAATGTAACGGGATTTTTTTTAGCTCACTTAGCAGCACTGCAGCGTGCAGGTTACCGGTAGAGCTCAACCTCCTGGAGGTGAAGAGTATTTATGAGTTTTGTTGCAGATAAAATATTATATACTTCAAAAGAAAACTTGTTACGAACGAAGCTTGTATTCCACATAGAACAACACGAAACGCGTTTGCAACAACGGAAGAACAAGAAACATCATTCGTAGTCACCTTCGACTACGATGACACCGGTCCAGTTTGCATCACTACCACGCCGTGGTATGCTATGGAGTCGAGTGAACAAATCGACCTGAAAAATCACGGCCGAGCCGTAACCTCCGTCGTCCTCTCTGACAACCCCTTGTACTTTGTTGAACGGATGATCGAAACTGATCAATCCCTCTTCGGTCGTGAAGAAACACCCTGCGATATAGGGGAACATAAAGATAACACTAAAGATGAAACTCGTAATTATCTTAAAGAATGATCTTTCGAGTGTATTACCCGGAGGGAAAGGCGTATATCGGTTTCCGCAACCCTCTCTCACGATTTTTGCATCATCAGAACATACTAAACACCCGTCGCTAGTCACTCCCCAGTGAAGCTGTGCAGATCCATCACGATCCTACAACAACACCAATCGCATCAAAAGGTCATTGGCCTAACAGTTCCTGAGTTACTAGTAGAGCCCTGCCTCCCAATAGGTCATGGGTTCAAACATCACAAAATGTGAGGAATGTACATGAATATTTGTAGTATATAAATCTATATATCTATTAAAAGAAGAACCAAGAGTATTGAGGTGACGTCATGAGAATTGAGTATTGAGATGTTGATGAATTGTGGTTGAGTTTGAGGTATCCCATATTGGTGAGAGATTGAAAACACCACCTTCAATACCATTTACTAAGTTAAAAGTCGAGAATACAAATCACTTGCCCCCCAAATTCCATGTCCCTCTCTGTCCACCAACCAACCTCAAGTGACGATGTGTCAAAATTTGAGTGGTGAAACAGAAATGAGACAGTGGAGTTTGGAGGCAGGTGATTTATGTTCAATAGTTGATTAACAAAACGCGAAAAATACCCGAGCTAGAAAGAGGTGTGTTGCTTTAGCATCAAACAAAATGAAAGAGAACTTCCCATCGAGCTCTTTGATGACTTGATCGGCAGGATAAGGAGCTCGATCCCTCAAGACTTTATAAGCTTCAACGACAACCATGGCTTCCGTTGCTTGTCTTGAGAGCCCATAATGTCGGCGTAAATCGCATACGTTGCGTAAATACCCATTAAAGATGCAAAATATATCATCCATAACAACAATTGACCTAGTACCAATAAATCAAGAAAGTAAAACATACGTACATTTGATTTTACTAGGTGTTAGTACAGTTCCATACCAGTTTAATACAGACCATTATATATATATATATATATATATATATATATATATATAATTATAATGAGAGAGAGATTTAGGGGTCGTTTACCAAACATTTATCCGGGTAAGCGCTTAACAAGTCATGTTACCTCACCGAATGAATATGGTAAGGACCAAGAATCTTACCCGGTAAGAGCGAGACAAGGACCATGAGTCTTACCCGGTAAGTGAGGGTGACGACTTACCACGGTAAGCGCTTACCGGATAAATTGTTGCATACGATGTCGTTTTGGTGGACTAAAATCTTACCCGATAAGTAAATAATAGTGTTAAATTTTACCGATAAGCACTTACCGGGTAAGTGTTTGGTAAACGGCCACTTTGCAAACCATGTTATTTGTACAAACCTCATTCAACCGATCATAATTTTTCCATTTTTTTTGTAATTATGATATGTGATTAATCATTTTTATTATAGAGGGTGTTAATCATGGATATTAGCATCTTAATTATATTAATTTTAAAGAAATACATGAAACAATTTTACTAAAATTTCCTAAATATTATATGAAACAATTTCATAACCATATATGAAACAACTTCATCTAGAAAAAAATATTATATGAAACAATTTCATGAAACAAAATCATTAAATTAAACAATAAATTAAACTCTTTTAAAGATAGACCATTTCCTTAACGCTTACCCGGGTAAGTGCTTACCAGTAAAAATCAACACTATAACTTAACTTACCAGATAAGATTTCAATCCATTAAAACGACATCGTATGCAAAAATTTATCCGGTAAGCTCTCTTACCAGATAAGAGTCGTTACTCACTCACTCATTGCTATGTTCATCCAATAAGGTAAGTGAGATGGTAAACACTTATCGGACAAACACTTAATAAACGGCCCCTCAATCGGTTTTAAGTGGTACCTTGGACATGTTGCAGACTCATCCTTATGAGACAAAGCCATGAAATCCCCATTGCAAAACTTGTAGCAAGTCGAGTCAGGTTGATCCGAACCAAAATAAACCGCAAACTCTTCCTTGGTTTTGCGGTTTCCGCTACCGCCGAACGGAAGCCCGAGCTCCTTGGGTGGATTAGCGATCGCCTTCTCGAAAACGGCCAACATTTTCGCATGCAAAGATTCGAACCCCGAATGGGAAAATAAACTAGTATTTCATACCATGGTATATGTAAGTCATATGTTCATGTTTATCTACATAAAATGTCTAAAAGAGGAAAGAGACAAAAGGTTGTTAGGTGAGGTGGCATGTGTTGTGATAAATGGCAACTTTCTGGTATACCTTGAAATATATGTTACTGACATAAAAATTTAGATAATTCTTTACTTATTATCTTTTGTATACTTCAGTATTTAGGGGTGTTCGTCATCTGGTTTGGGTGGTTTTACCTTTCAAACTGCTCAAATCACAAACAGAACTGCAACGACGGTTTAGGAAATTTTCTAAAATGAGTGATCTTGCAGCAAATAACCAAACTGGTTAAACCAAACCACAAAAAGACGGTCTGGTCAGACCAGTTTAGATGGCATGGAACAATTATGAGCTTTGAACTAAGAAAAACATAACATTTATCTATAAAATGAAATTTCTACTAATATAGTCTATGCTATATTTTAAAGCATTTGACAAAGCTCTTAAAAACCATTTTTTTATGCATGAAGTACTGTTTATTGACGCGTATTACTTAAAATTCAAGATTACAAATTAATTGTGCGTAAGTACAACTTATTAAAGCCTGTGTTTGAATTCATATAACTAACTGTAGATAAACATAATCAAATACATGATAAATATTTCATTTTAAGTATAAAAAATCTAAAATATAGTTAGAATAATCGTCGAGTTCTAGCAGAGTACTTAATTATTATCTTTATAAAAGATTATATTATTAAACCTAAATTAAATTATTTCGTTACGTTAAATTAAATTATAATAGAAAATTTGAATTAAAGAAATTACATAAAATAAGAATTTTTAAATAGTTAATTGAATAGTAATATCTATACATTTTTTTTTCAAAATTTTATGATATTTTAAAATTATATTTTATTCAAAAATAAAAACATTATCACTTTCTCAAAACCACATAAAACCATATTACATCGACATAAATAAATAATAAAACGAGACATTGGAATCGGGATATGTCTCGATGCATTGCACGAGTACCTTTCTAGTATAATTAAAAAAAAATATTATACCGAATAATATAAGAAACATCCATCTCCGTAATTTAAAAAAATATTGAGCAAGTTTGAAAAAAAAATTAGTCGAAAGATGATTTGTAATTTTGATTTCTTGACGGATTTCGGAATTTTGTTGATTTAGGAAACACAAACAATTGAGAAGTGAAAACTAAAAACTTACGTCTTTGACGACCTTTTTGTTAATTAGGCCATAAAAGTTGAGCCTACAACATGAAAACTAAATATAATTAATACATGGTTATGTTGGAGGTTGGTTTGGTTCAAACCACAGTGGACCAAACCAAATGGTTTGACTATTTTCCGACTACAACAGACCGCTCAAACATCCAAAAACGATATGATTTAATTAACTTATAACAATACCCATAAAAACCATTTTAAATAGCTTCCAAGATTCAAAGAGAATTGCAACAACGAAAACGTCAATAATATGGGCATAAAAGGTAAATTTAGGTCGATATGTTCGAGAAAGATGGTTATCCAGAATAAGAGTTGTTATCCGACAAGAAACAGACAAATATCCACAAAATATGTATAAATAACAAACCAAATTAACCCATTATAACTTACCGGAAATTATGAGATATGGACATATATGTTTTCTACCTTAAACAGAGATGTCAAAAAAAATTGGAACAGATTTCTACTTTTGGATCAATTCTAATTGAATGTAAAACACTAATGAGGTGCACCAAGATACACCAGATCAAATTCTCTCTTAAAACGCAATTCATGGATGCGCATGAGATTAAAAGTGATCAAGCGTTCAAATATTTTCTTAGACTTTTTACCATAATTTCCCTTTGATCCTTCGCCTATATATATATATATATATATATATATATATATATATATATATATAGGGTATATTTCTTTTACAACCTTGTGCATTTGTACAACCCTTACAACCCAATTAATTATAGAAATGATGGGAGTTCATTTATTATGATTTGAATATTTATGGAATATGAATAGAGTTCATTAATTATGATTAATACTTTATATTAGGAAACAATTAATTGATTAAAAATTGAATGGTTGAGATGAGGGTTGTATAGGGTGTAGGAATGGCAAAGGGTTATATAGAGGAGTGATCATATGAAAACCGCCCTCATTTGTGTAAACCGTG